AAGGAAAAAACCAGTTTACTTGTACAAGATATTATTTTTTCAATAAAATAAATACACTAATGTATGTGGCATGCCTTATGGAGCTATGCTTGTGATTTTCAAAAAAAAAATGTGAAAAGTGCCCAAAAAACTATTCCGCTACCTTAAAGGTAATCAATTACACAAACATAACATTTTATGTAAATGAATTGAGTACAGAGAGTTTATACATTGTATCAAAAATGTTTAGGCTACAGTTATGATGTTTTGATTAGTAGTGATAAAATCAGTGGCAATTTCATTAGGTACTTGCTCTGATGTATCAACATTTACCACAATCTGATCGTCCAATGTTTAGTGAAAACCATTTTAATATGTACAGATTTTAACCCACAATCAATTAGGTCTGTCTATTGTCCTACAGCATCCATGTACGTTTCATATGAATGTGATGATTAGTACTTGAGATATCAGTGTGAAAGTTGAAAATTGGTTAATTATGCAAATTAGGTGATTAATATGCACAAGTATTTACCGAAAACTAATTGGGTCTCTGCATAGTTCTAGATTCATTGAAATGTGATGATTAGTACTCGAGATATCAGTGGAAAAGCTGAAAATTAATTATGCAAATTAGGTTATTAATATGCACAATTATTTACCCTAAAACTAATCAGGTCTCTGCACAGTCCTAGAAGATCTATGTACCAAGTTTCATTGACATGTGATGATTAGTACTTGAGATATACATGGAAAAGCTGAAAATTAACTAATTATGCAAAAATATTTATCCAAAAAGAATCAATCTCTGCATAGTCTTTGAGTATCTATGTACCAAGTTTCATTGAAATGTAATGCTTACTACTTAAAATATCAAAAGTTGAAAATTAATTTATTAAATAAATATACAGATATAAAATGTACAGATATTACCCTAAAACTATCAGGTCTGTGCAGTGTCCTATGACTTCAATGTACCAAATTTCATTGAAATGTGATGTTTACCGTAAAAACCCGCAAATAAGCGCCACCCTCAATTAAGAGCCACTCAGTGAAAATTTGTTACATTTGACCCTCCATTAAGAGCCACCAAGAGTTGAGTGGTTTTGTCAATAAGAACCCTGAAATAAGCGCCAGCCGCCCGGTTGTTTACAATCAGGCAGACACCGAGCTTGTCGTGCCTCACTTCCACCCTGCATTGTTTATTGCACCACAGAAGGTGTGAGACAAATAAAGATTATCCCCTTAACTTGCCCGATGTCCTGTGTAATCATAGACCTGTTTTCTAAGGTCTATGGTGTAATTGAGAACGGAAGAATGATAGACGAAAGAAA